CCTACAGAGTTCAAATGAATTTGGGACCCCGGTGCAGTGGGTATCGTATGACAGCAAGCTTGTATAAAGTTTGCAATAAAAATAAGAAAGGGAGAAGGAATAAACTACTGATCCCAATTGCATGCGTTTAATTGTAGCTCGGCCTGCAGCTCAAAGAGCCATGTGCGTGTGTTCTTCACAACACGGGTGACCCTGAGCCGCTATTGTGCTGACCATGTCAGAGGACTGTTGCCATGTGAAATAACAGCACTGGGATATACTTCAAGGTCATGGTGGTGTTTCTGCGGTTTTGAACTTTTGCCTGCAGGTGGCAGGCGTGCGGTGAGGATGCGAACCAGTGGAGTTTGGTAATGCATGGGTTACACATGCAATTACAAGCACAAAGAAAGCAGCAAATTAACCCTGCTGTTACATGTGTTGTGAGGTCAGGTTTTATTAGACTTCCCTGAGAAATGCCCCTGTAGCCTGATTGTCCTATCGTTGTGCCCCGATATACACTTATGTAAAAGGCCTATGTTGTGTAAGGCAAGTAATAATGCTGCCGCAGTTTGTACGTGATCAATGTGAGATGCCTGATGTTCTCATTGTGTGGGATGCGCATCCTCTGAGACTCGCTTCCTTTAGAGGTGCCTCGAGTTGGACGCTATGGGCGCTTATATACGTGCTCCGAGCGTGGTGGGGGGCGGCGCTTTAATTAGAGCGGCTCTGAGGACCACTCTAGTTAAAGCACCACAGCGTCTCGTTTATCAGCATCCCCACACTTCAACATGGAGGCAGGGGTTAAAGCTCCTTCAAGCTTTAGTTCAAGCACCCCCGTCACCATTTTGAAGCATGGGGATGCTGATGCACAAGACGCAGAGGCTAGCTGGAGCACGGCGATTACCATGCTCCTGCAGACTCAACACATTAACCGAGTCTGCTCCAACATGCTGCAATTGCAGTGCGTGTGAGCAGCCTCTGCGCTTGTGTACAGGCACCCTGTAAGCTTGTGAGCCATTGAAGGATTGCTTCTTGATTCAGCAAGCAACTCTCTTCCTCTCTCAAAAGCAGCATGCTGAAAGGCTATGAAATAGGACAAGAAAACAACTGAGGGGAGATGTGTGAATGGAGCTAGACTGCATTTTGGTATAAACAGTGAAGCCTGCTAGGCAGATTAGAGCCTGTTTCTGCAGCGAACTACAGATCAAAGTTAAGTTTGTCAAAATCAAGTTAATGGCGCATTCTGCATGAGGCAGGCATTGCATTAACTGTAGTACTTTCACTATCATTACTGACAGCTACTGCTTTTGCAGGGTAGCAAATTTACAGGGTGTTTTGGAGTGCTAGGCAGCTGCGCTTGCAGCTGCTCGGATTTACGCCCTGCCTTTTCTGTAGCAATGGTAACTGAATGGGACTAGATTCATTTTAGAGGACGAAGTTTTCTAATGAGGGTGAAAATATTTGAAATTAGCCTCTGGTGCCTGATTCTGTATCACGCTTTCTCTTTCTTTTCTTGGCTATGTGGGAGGGAGACATCAAAGCTTCTGGGGCAAATTGTCTCTGCTGAGCAGAGCTTACCGACAAGTCTTGCTTGTGTACAACCAAGCACTGTGATTGGTGCATCTTTTTCATAATCCCTAAAACCACCGCTTCTTTGAGGTAAACTGTGAGGCGCATTCAGGTTCGTTCGCATGTACCTTCCTATGAAGAGAAAGTTAGAAGCAGTTGCTGGAAATGATTAGATCAGAAAATGGCCTTCCATACCACACCTATTGTTACCATACCTCCCCCTCCATTCATAACTGTGTGCACAGCAGAGCTGGGCATGAAATGGCTTTCTGGTCCTAGCAAAGCTTTTTCAAATTGAATATTTTTTTTCCGTGCTGAATTAGGATAGCAAGTCCCAATGTTTGCAAAAGGGCAATTGCAAATAAATAAATAAGTTTGCAGGGTTGGCTTGATCAGAATGCATTATTCTGAGGATTTCAAAGCAAAAGTTCATTTGAGATTAAAAAAACAACAACCCTCCCCCCCAAACCCCAATTTTTTTGCTTTAAGAATGTCAAAACATCCAAATGCTTTGAAGGGAGAAATTGTCAACATCCGAGAGCACTTCCAGCTTCAATGAACCGGCACTTATCAATGAAGACAGATTCCATTGAAAATGCCCCAAAAGTCCCCAAAAGTCCTACATCCAGAATAACTCTGATTATTTTACAACTATCAACAATACAAAGACTTGGCATATACTAGGGAACTGCCCTAATTTCAACTCTGTGGCCACTGAACAGTGTTACTTTGCTGATAGAAGCCCGAGCATAGATGCAGCGAACGGCTCTACATCATTATTGCCCTGGTGCAATGATGACAGTTGTCCTGACAGTTAAAGGCTATAGTGACTTTCTTTCTGCCCAAAGGGGTTGCACTGAACCACTGGTGGCTGAAATCAGGGCAAATGCCTTGGTTCACAAATAAAAATGATTATTGGGCAACAGGCAACGTGGCCGTGAATAGACAAACCCAATGAGCGTGGAATCCTGGCACGTTTCAATCATTCATAAGTCCAGTTCTGGTGACCTGACTACACCATAGGAGGAGGTCTGCTGGGATTTCAAACTGCCCCTTTCCTAGCCAGAAACACCCTTGAAAGCACTGTTAAAACTGTAGCACCTCAAGTCTTTCCCAGTGAGTCGTGTTTCTGACACAATCCATCTGAACTCTTCTCAGGAAATTTCCACCACTCCCAAAATCTAGGAGTTAAGAGACCCTGCAACAACTGACTCACCTTTGGCATCAAAGCATTGTGATAGCCAGTACTTTCCAAACACTACATCCATTCTCTCCCCATGCCGGCAGACAAAAAGGCACCGTTTCTGGGGCCCTGGCTGGCTGGTTACTCTCAGAGGCTGAAAGCAAAATGACAATATGTTTGGGCATCAAGTGCCTTTTCCACAAGTCCAATTTACTAATGAGATGAGGATCGGTCTCTCCTCTCATAACCTTAGGATAAAGAGAGAGCAGTTGTGTTTCCACTGAAGTCACTGAATTCATACTTGGGTGAAACTTGGTGTTACGGAAAGGAGAGAATCGGATCCTATCTAATCTTTGGTTAAATTGATGCTCTGAAGACTTAGTGCGTGGTCCATAGGGTCCCCTTATAAGATGAGACTTCCAGCGCAGCCAGAAGAGTTGTTGGACACTGACTGCTAGAGATTTGCCATTAAAACCACATCCAACCTGTTCATGTGTGTGCCTGCATGTCCCCCAAGTAAGACCAAATTCCAGTCCCCAAGCACAGGGAGCATATTTCACTTGCAGGATGGGAGCTTTGGGATTTCTTGCAGATCCTTACTCTGCTGATTAAAAACAGGGTAGGTAGGCAGGCAGAGCAGGAAGATGGCATGATGTAGGTATCTGCATTCAGCACACCAACTGCAAAGCCAGTCAGTCCAACATCAAGACCCCAGCAGCCGCCTGTTAGCTTATGGGGACAGCAAAGTCTTGCTGAATAGAGGCATTTCCTCTACAGAACAGGCACAGCAGAGGTACTGTTGGTGTAAGCTCTCCTCGGGTAGTCCTGGCTGGGAAGTTTCCCTCCTGCCCACTTCAACAGTTCAGATCTTGGCTCCCCTGCTGTGTGGATGGCTAGGTTGTGAGGGGGGAAACCTGTCTATTGGGAATGGGATCAAAAGCTGTTGGGACATGCCATCAAACAGCCATTGGATTGTAACAGCTTTCCAGACCTAGGCCTTCAAACCAGCAGTTCAGCAGGGAGCGGCTCTGTCTTGGGCAAGCCTCCTGCACCTTGAAATAGGCTGCCACTCCACTTGGTCAACTCGGCTACTACCCTATTTTAATCCATAGATTCTCAAAATAGTGGAGAAGAACCTGTACGGTTAGGTGGGGAGAAGGAGGGGAGTGTTCCTGAGATTGTTTCCTGTTTTCAAATGGAGCCATGGTACAGAGAAGGCTGAGAGACCATTTCTGGGGACCTGAGGATTTACTCAGCTGAAGAGGGGATGCAGACCTGAGCTTGCATGGAGCCTTTTTTTTTTTTTAAGTAAATGATTTAAATAACTATAAAAAGCAATCTACCAAGATTCTAGGTGCCCTAATTAATGCATACTGATTATAAGTAATTACAAATCAATTGCTAATTAGTATCCAAAAAACTGATGTTACCTAATTAATGCAATGAATACTACCATAAAATGGTTGCAGAGAACCGCTGCCATGGATCCTACCTGCATACTCTGACAGATGATAGTAAGTGGTCCCGTGTCCCCAGGTCCTTGGTCGTCTTGTTGCCTTCTCTCCAGAATCCCATCACTGAAGGCAAGAGCGGATGGGGAAGATGTGTTCAGAATTGAGTAAGATCTGCCAAAAATAGAAAGACACTGGTTTGCAACAGGAGTAAGGCTGGTTCCATACCTGGAAATGAGGGAAAGTTTATTTTTATTTATGATGAATGATTTCTGTTACTGTAGCCCTCTAGTCCCCTGGGCTAGACTATGCACACCCAGTGAGAGAGAGCCCCAAACCTAAGAGCTTCAGAGTTCATTAGAAAACCAACAAAAAAAATGTGGCAGGTGTCTTCATCCCACTTTACAGCATACATAGCAACATGTTATGTTCACACAGCAATTTGTGCAATAGGGCCTAATCTGATCCTGACTTTTAGCTGCCATTATAGCAGAGATGCTGTGTATAAATAACTTCCTGGTCAATCAGACTCCTTTTTCAGGGTCCATTACAAATTGGATACAGTAAATATAGCTGGAGAACATCCTGTTTTGAATCTTGCAAAATGGAGGATAAGCTGAAAACCAGTAACAGGCCACAAGATCTGAGGTGTGATTCTCATTTCAGTTGCATCAGGGAATTGTGAGTGTGTCCCAGTTTTATTACTAGTGGAGGAGAGTGGTGATTCCCCTTAAAGTCTCCCCCTTATTGGAAAATGGCATGCAAACCTAGATCACCATCTTGTATTTTCCTCCATCAGATGTGAGGATCTCCCACACACAGTGGCTAGTGAAACAGGACTGCAATATTCCCATGCTTCCAGCATTGTTTCATACCTTCTAGGGTCGGAAGGGACCTGAGCAGATCATCTAGTCCGACTCCCTGCCATGGCAGGAAGAGCACTGGGGTCAAATGACCCCAGTAAGGTGGTCATCCAACCTCCTCTTAAAAACCCCCAGGGTGGGAGCCTGCACCGCCTCACTTGGAAGCTGGTTCCAGACTCTAGCTGCCCTGACCGTGAAGTAGCGCCTCCTGATGTCCAACTTAAACCTTCCCTCCGCCAGCTTGTGACCGTTGTTCCTGGTCACTCCTTGCGGCGCTCGGGGGAACAGGGACTCCCCCAGCGCCTGCTGATTCCCCCCTAACCAGTTTATAACAGGCCACAAGATCCCCCCTCAGCCTTCTCTTTTGAAGGCTGAAC